TGTACTGCACCGTGAAGGAGTCAAAGGTGCCCTCGGGCACCGTCCACTCCAGCTGGACAGAGTTGGGGGTGACGTGGGAGGCTGTGAGCTCTCCCAGGAGGGGCGGGGCAGGCGGTTCTTCCTGGGGTGGTGCCAAGGCTGGAGAAAGGAGGGCACAGTGTAGGATGCCTTACGGTATGGACATCCACCCATCTCTCCAGCCATCTGCCCATCTGTCCATTTAACTAATCATTCACCCATCAATCAGTTCACCCATCTGTCTACCCACCCATCCTCCCATTCCTCCACCTGTTTGTCCACCAGTACCCTCATCCCTCTATGCATCCATCTGGTGGTAACTCCATTCAGCCAGACAGACGCCAGTCTGTCTCTCCATCCATCCATCCATCCCTCATTCCATCCATTTCTCCAGCCAGCAAGGCTCCTTCCATCCAATCACCCATGTTTCCAAGCTCATCTTTCCATTCATCTGGCCATGGATTCATGAACCCAGGACTCCAACTATCCATTCATTCCTTTATCCAACCAATTATTCATCCAATCATCCATGCTTCCATCCATCTGTTGAAATATCTTCCTGTCCAAACATCTTTCCAACCATTCATCCAATCATCCAAAAATCTATCCAATCATCCGTCTGGCTCTTCTTCCATCTACCATCCCATTAACTAAACATCCATCCAACCAGCCTTTCATACCATCCTCCCATCCATTCCTCCCTGCACCCCTCCAACCTTGCATACCTCAATGTCCACCACCAATTCAGTGGCCAAGACCTGTTTCCCTTTCCCAGAAAGCCCAAGGGGACCAGGACAGGCTCTGCCCAGGCTCCTGCCTCTCTTCAAACACAGAGGCCAGAGGGGACTGGGACGGGGCCGGCAGCCACCCTCACCTGTAACAACTTCAGTAGAGATGAGACCAATTCGTTTCCGTCCCCACACCCCGTACAGGTTGAACTTGTAGCGATGGGAAGGCACTAGGTTGGGCACAGTCACTGTGCGTGACCCGCCATCAACAGCAAGTGCTTGAGGCTGGCCTTGTGCATCCCTGTACTGCACCGTGAAGGAGTCAAAGGTGCCCTTGAGGACAGTCCAGGCAAGCTGGATGGAGACAGGGGTGATGTGGGAGGCTGTGAGCTCTCCCAGGCGGGGCTGGGATGGTAGTTCCTCCTCTGGTGACACCAGGGCTGCAACACAGAAGGCACAATGGAGGCTACGCTGGGGACAGACATCCACACATACATCCAGCCAGCCAGTCACAAAAGCATCCAACCAATAATTCCCCCAAACATCCTTCCTTCCATTCAGTCATGCTTCCAGTCATCCATCTGCCCATGCATTCATCCTAATGATCAGGCAACTCAGCCAACTGTCCATGTAGTCAGTCATCTTTATCATCCAGTAATCCAGCTGGTTGGCCATCTATCCACCATCCATCCATTTATCCATCTGTTTCTAAGTCCGTTAGTCAATCCATCCATCCATCCATCCATCCATCCATCCATCCAACCATCTACCCAGCCTTCCATCCATCTAATCACCCATTTTTCCATACATCCTTTTCTATCCATAAGCCCTTGATTCCATCCAGGCCTCCAATCATACATCCATTTGGCTGTCTAATTACCCAGCCAGCCTTCCAGCCATCAAGCCATCTATTCATCCTTTGAATCATCCCTCTGTTCAACCATCCATCCATCCAATCAACCAGCCTTCCATTCATCCATCCATTCAACCATTCATCTTTCCATCTATCTGTCAGTTCAGCCAATCCCTCCAACCTTGCATGCACACATCCATCCATCCATCCCCCAGCCAGAACCCAGGACATGTTCCCATTTCCAAGACAGCCCAAGAGGAACAGGATTGGCCCTGCCAAGGCTCCTGACCCACCCCCCAAAACCAGAGCACAGAGAGGACAGGAATAATGCTAGCAGCCACTCTCACCTGTGACAGCGTCGGTGGAGATGGGGCCCAGGCGTACACATTGAACTTGTAGCGGCGGGATGGCAACAGCCCAGGCACCGTCACCGTGCGGGACTCGCCGTCCACGGGCAGCACCTGGGGCTGCCCTTGTGCATCCTTGTACTGCACCGTGAAGGAGTCAAAGGTGCCCTCGGGCACCGTCCACTCCAGCTGGACGGAGCTGGGGGTGACGTGGGAGGCTGTGAGCTCTCCCAGGTGGGGCTGGGAGGGCAGTTCTTCCTCCGATGGAGCCGGAGCTGCAACTGAGAGGGCAGTATGTGTATGTGTGGTTCAGAGGACAGACATCTGCCCATCTCTCCAACCATCCTTCCACGCAACCATCTTTCCCTCTCTCCATCTACCCCTCCACCCATCAATCAAATTATCCACTCCTCCTCCCATAATCCCACTGTTTGTCCAACTCTCTGTTTGTCTATGTGCTTGTCAGTCAGTTCATCCATCCGTCTATTCATCCATCTGACCCTTTATCCATTTGTCTGTCCGTCTATCCATCCTTATATCTGTCCAATCTTGCCATGCACCTTTTTTCCATTCATCAGTTCCTGAATATATCCATCCAACCATCCAATTATCCATCCCACCATCCCTCCACTGAACCCTCCATCCATCCAACCATTCAGCCCTCCATCCAACCAGCCATCCTTTCTTCCATCCATCTATCCAATTATCCCACCTTCCAATCAACCAATCAGTCCATCAACCAACAGCCACAAACTCACCAGCCACTATCCCTCCAACCTTTCATGCATCCATTTCCACCCTCAACAGCCAAGACACACTGCAGGGACAAACATACACCCACTCATCCATCGATCTGTCTGTCCAGTCCCTCCGTTCGTCCCATTATCTTTCCATCTATCCCCCCATCTGCTCAGCTGTTTGTCTGCTCACTCATCCATCCATCAATCTTTCTGTCCATCCATTTTTCTCTAAGTTCATCCTTCTGTGCATCCATCCATTCATCCATCCATTTGTTCAGCTGTCCATCCACCCATTTTTCCATCCATTTGTTCAACCACCCATCCATCCATCCATCCGTTTGCCCATCCACCCATCCATTCTTCTATCCATCCTTACAGCTTTTGTTCTGTTCATCCATCCACCCCTCCATCCACCCTTTCATTCATTATCCATCTATCCTCCAGTCCTTCTTATCATCCCTCATTCCATGCACTGTGTCTCCAGCTACCCATCCACCATTCCATCCCCCAGTTCAGCTGCCAAGAGCTGGGGAGCCCCAAGCCTGGATGCCTGGGTCCTCCCACCAGATTGGGGACTGCCTGGGGATACCTGCTTCAGCCACTGTGCCATGAGGCTCAGCCACTCTCGTCAGCTCCATCTCGTATCGGTGTCCCTGGTCTGGGGGAGGGTCACCGGTGCTGTCCACCCCTGTAAGTGGAGGAGACGGTCACAGGGAGAGAAGGGAATGTCCCAGGAAAGGCCGTCCCCTTCCCCATCCCCATCACCCACCTGTGGTCACCAAGGTGGAGTAAGACTTGGAGGCATGCCCCTGCACCACACCGTGGACCTCCACGCGATACGTGGCCCCTGGGATCAGCCCTGGGAGCCGGGCCACTGCTGCATCCCCTGGCACCCGCAGCTCCCCCCCGGCCCCCTCAGGCCCTCCCAGGAGCTGGTAGCGGATCACCACAGTGTCTACATGGCCCCGAAGCCCATCCAGGACCACCAGGGCTTCACTGGCAGTCCCTGGCATCACCCGAGGCTTGACATGGGACGGGGGGCCCGGGGGACCCTGGCGAAGGCGGTGGAAGACCTGATCACGCAGCTCAGCTGGGCTCCTGTGCAGCAGGTAGGAGAGGATGGCCCGGGCCACCGCCGGCACCGGCTGGGTGGCGGGTTTTTTTTCCGAGGCCCGGAGGTAGCTCTCCAGCCGCTGCTGCAAGGTGCCATTGTAGGGCGAGAGCTTGGCTCCTAGGTTGTGCACCACCGTCTGCAGGGACAGGCCCCCCGGGGACCGCGGGGACTGTGGGGATGCCGGGGACCGTGGGGATGCAGGAGACTGTGGAGATGCTGATGACCCCAGGGAATCTGGTGACACTGGGGACGCTGTGGATGCTGGTGACACTGGGGACCTCGGGGACTCTGGGGACACTGGGGATGATACTGGAGACCCCGGAGATGCAGGGGACCGTGGAGATGCTGGTGACTTTGGGGATGCTGGTGACACTGGGGACCTTGGGGATGCTGGAGACCCTGGGGATGCTGGTGACCCTGAGGATCCTGGGGATCCTGGTGACATGGGGGACGCCGGTGACCTTGGGGAGGCTGGCAACCCCGGGGATGCTGGTGACTCCGGGAATACCGGTGATGCTGGAGACACAGGAGGCCCCGGGGGACCCCGAGGGGACCCTGGGGGCACCCTGCGGGCGTGCAGGGGCTGGGCGGGCACTGTGAGAGCAAATAGGGCCAGCGTCACCACGCTGTCTCCTCCCCAAAAACACCCGTCCACCAGGGACTGGGTGGGGGAGACGGACACAGGGATGGACACAGGGACAGACGGACCCATGGGAACACATTGGTGACACCCAGACCTACGGGGACAAACGGATGCACAGGGACGCACCAGGAGACGTAGGGACACATGGACCCATCGAGACAGATGGACACGCGGGGACAGACTGGGGACACACGGAGCCACAGGGACACACGGACGGACGGGTCCAAGGGGATACATGGAGCCATGGGGACAGACAGATGCACGGGCACAGACGGAGCCAGGGGACAGACGGAGGTCACAGGTACCCCTGTTCCCATTCCTATCCCTGTCCCTTTACCAGTCCCCACCCCCCCACCTGTCCCTGTCCTTGTCCCCACACATGACCCCATCCCTCTCGCCATGCCTGTCCCTGTCCCAGTCCTTATCCCATCCCCAGCACTGTCCCCACCCCAGCCCTGTCCCCATTCCAGTCCCCATGCCTGACCTCATCGCATGCCTGTCCCTCTCCCTGACCTTGTCTCTGTGCTCATCCCCATGCCCGTGCCTGTCCCCTCTCCATCCCCCTTCCATTCCTGTCCCTATCCCTCTCCCCTTGCCTGTCCCTGTCCCCTCCTTGTTCCCGACCTTGCCCCTCTGCCCATCTCTGGCACTGTCCTTTCCCCATCCCTGTTCTGTTCCCATCCCTATCTGTGTCCCCTTATCAGTCCCCATACCCGTCCTGGTCCCCATGATCATCCCCGTCCCCCTCTCCATCCATCTCCCCATTCCAATTTCTGTCTCCATCCCCATGTCTGTCCTTGTCCCCAACCCTCTCACTGTCCCCATCCCTATCCCTGTCCCCATCCCCATCACTGGGCCCTTCCCCATCTCCATGTCTCTCCCTGTCTCCATGTCTGTCCCCATCCCTGTGCCTGTCAATGTCCCCATCCCTGTCCTCATTCCCGTCCCCATGACCACTCCTGTCCCCATTCCTCATCCCCGCCCCCATCACTATCCCCAGCCTCATGTCTGTCAAAGTCCCCACCCTCATCATCGTCCCCATCCCCATGCTGTCCCCGTCCCCATCGCCCCATGGTGCCACGTACAGGTGCGGACGCGCAGGGTGCTGGGCGCCCCGGGGTGCTGCTCCCGCTGCGCCTGCACCGAGACCTCGTAGGTGCCGCCGGGCACCAGCCCCGTCGCCTCAAAGGTGACGGCAGAGCCGGGCAGCTGGTACATGGTCACCGCCTCTGCCTCGTCCTGGGGACGGGGGACACACCATTGGGGACACCGTGGTGCACGGCCCCTGCCCCAGCCCTCAGCCAGGCAGCCAGCGGGTGGGTGCAGCCAATGGCTCATCCTGGGCCCGGGGACATGTTGGGGACACACTGAGGACATGTTAGGGACGTGTTGGGGGTGCCACATTGGTGACCTGCCCCCATCCCCATCCCCAAGCCGGGCAGTCAGCAAGTGGTCACAGCCAATGGCTTGTCCTGGGGCCAAGGGATGAGTTGGGGACCCACTGGGGACACTTTGGGGACCCAGCTCACCATGGGAACGAGGGCCACCTGGTAGCCATCCACAGGCTCAGGCGGTTGTGTCCAGGCCACCCGGAAGGATGTCCGGTCGCGGGTGGTCACATGTAGTGTCACCATGGGGATCTCTGTGGGGACATGAGCCCATCAATGGGTGCCACCATGGGGACGCCCAGGGGATGGGACACCCACGGGATGGGGATGGTCATGGGACACCATGGGGTGGAGCATCTATGGGATGGGGACATCCTGGGGATGGGGCACCCACAGGACGGGGCC